CCGGTCCGGCCTGGAAGCAGGCATGCATTAGCGCTAACGAGCAGCGCTGATGCTGCGCATGGGGGGAGGCTCTTCCCAGCAGCTGCCAGCTGCTGTCCCGGCCGCAGCTCCGGCCGCCTGGGCGATGGCTGGGGACACACGGGCGGCCGGAGGAGGTCTGCTGCCCTGCGGGTCCCTCACCCCGGCTCTCATTTGGCTTTTTCCCACACTCTCGGTTTACTTCTTTATTTATCTTTAATTATTAGGCCTGCGCTGAGGAATCCAAGGCTGCCTCTGTGGCAGCTGCTGCTTATTTACCCCCCACGCCTGAGAAACACTCGCTGGCATCGCAGCCTGCGGATGGGCAGAGCAGGGGATGAGGGACGAGGGATGCCCGTGGCACCGGGAACCTGCCCTTCAGCCAGCGCCGGGCTCGGCCGTGGCGTCCCGGCATCCCGGGGGACGTGGCAGTTTCTCACGGCGAGCCGTCTGCTGAGTGGAGCCGCAGCTCCTTTTCTCTTCCCTCGGCCCCTCGCAGGGATCGCTGCTTTGGGAGAGAGCAAACCAGTGCCCGCAGATGTGGAGCTGCAGAAATTAACTCCATGTGGGGAAACCGTGGTGGCAGGGAACAGACCCGGTACGGCCAGGGGTGCTGGGAACCGGCGGCCCTGCTCCATCCTGGTGATGGGTGCGATGGCCGGGGCCATGGCCCTGGAGCCCCTGGAGCTGCGGGATAGTGGCAGGACAGGGAGACCGGGCGTTTCGGTTCTTGCCTAAATATCCACAGCCGTGCCGGCCATCTCCTGCCGGTCTTTGGTCCTACCTGAGAAACTCGTGCCCTGGGGAGACCTGCAGCCAGTGGGTATGGAGTGGCCTGCCGGGACCCGTGCAGGCAGAAGTGCTGCCTTCATCACGGAGCAGGGAGTCGGCATGGGGACATGTGTGGGGTCCGGCTAGCAGGATGATGCTCACAGGGGTGCGATATCCCCGTACAACCCCAGCAGACATTACAAGGCGTGTGTTCTCTGACACCTGCCCCATTTTATACCTAGAGGTTAATTCTTGCCCCCAGCTCGTCGCAGGGAGGAAGGAGGGATACCAACCCTAACAGACTGGCTTGTCACCCCTTTTTGACTCGTAGCGCTGCAGAACTCACCCGGCTGCAGCTGTCTCAGCAGAGTTTGCACCGATGCAGCTTGGGGCACAGCGCTTCCCCCAGCCCCTCCATCGTGGTCCAGCCTCCCAGGACCGTGGTCTTCCCGTGGTTTGGGGCTGGGGGGTTTGGCACCTCTCGGGGACATCCCTCCGACGTGACTGCGAGGTGCTGGGGCTCTGCAGACATGTATTAACAAGGCTTTAATTCCCTCCCCCTCCAGCTGACCCCTGTGCTAATCACCTAATGGAAAAAGCACTGTATCCCTAACGAGACGCAGATAGCTGCGCCGGCCGCGGCCAGCCCTGCTGTCACACGGGCGGGAGCCCAAACCTCTTCCAGATGTGGAATCCCAGCACAGGCCTCATTTATGTGCACAGCTTGATTGCACTGAAATTACAGATTGTCTGCAGGGAATAGAGGGCTTTGACTTATGACCAATTTCCAGTTCTACTTGAACTCCCCTCTCCGAGGCTGGTTTATCCTGGGCCCTGCAGATGGTTTCTTTCCCAAACCTTTTTTCAGCTTTTATATTTGTTATTTATTGGGCTGCAGGTCCAGCAGATTTGGTTTTTCCAGGGGCGGTGAGTCGTGGTGCTGCCCGGTGCATCGGAGCACCCCGGCCCTGCTGCCCTGCGCCAGCTCTGGAGGTTTCGCCCTCTCTCCGGGGCTTATTTTTCCTGTGCTAACAAAAGCCGAGGGTTGGAACAATAATTTTCACCGTCCGAAATAGCCCGGCGTGACGCGAGGCTGGAGGCAACGCCCCGCGCACGTCGTGGGGAGGGGAAGAGCCCCCGAGCACCCAAACGAAGTGGGGAGGGGGTGGCCCCGGTGATGTTGGGGGGTCTTCAGCCCCATTGGGGTGGGAGCTGCAGGGTCCCTCTGGGATGCTGCCGCCACCAGAGCCCTTCCCAGTGCCGGAGCCCTCAGCACCTCTCGCCAGCCCTGGGGCCCCTCTTTTCTCTTCCTAAAATCCCTCTGCAAACCGGCGAGCTCTGCTCGGGGCGCAGCCTGCGCCGTATCTGCTGCGAGCATATGCTTTGAATTAATGCACTTGGAGAGCAAAAAGCATAGCCGGCCTCCCCGCCCCCACCGCGGCCCCCCCTTATTAACCTCCGTGACGCTGCCTGTGCCTTTCCCCTGCCTGCACGGGCTGGGGAGCCACCATCTCCCCGCGTCCTTTTTTGGTTGGGTCCAGAGGAAGTTTATTGTTTCAGCAGCCCAGTTTCTGGAGCCGTTATTTATCCAAGTGGATTCCAGCATGCTTGAAAAAACAATCTTGTTTTTTTCGGGTTTTTTGGCTCCTCTTTTTGAGGTGAAAAAAAGAAGAAGAAGGGATCTCTCTATCTCTCTGCCTGCAGCCTCCTGAGGTCCAAGCCCTGAGAGCCCCGGCGCAGGCGGGTTGGAGCAGGGATGCTGAACCCCTTCCAAGGCTGAATCCCCCCAGGATGGGAGGATGCTCCCTCCCGCCGCCCGTCCGCCCCCATCCCCACCACGCATCCCCCCATCGTTTCCGTTTGACTCGATGCTCCGGTCCTTAATCCCCGCATTGTCCAGAGAGACTTTTCCAGCCATCGCTCAATTAGCCGATTATTGTCCCAGTGGCGGGGCTGTCCCCGGCAGGCGACGGGAGCCCACCCACCCACCCACCGCTATGCCGGAGGGTCTCGGGGTGGCCGGGTGGGCTGAAGGCGTCGTTTCGGACGGGAGGATGCTGGAGTGGCACGAGGGCGATCGGGCGTCGAGGGCTGGGGGTGCGCGCCGGGCGCATCGCTCCGAACCCAGCTTGGGGGGTACCTCTTGGTGGGGCGTTTGCCGGTGCTGCCAAGGTGAGGAGTCCCAGCCTGGGCTGGAGCCAAGGCACGGCTGAGCGGCGGCTCTGGAGGAGCACAGCTGTGCTTTCATGGCCTGCCAAGCCTCCGGACGGCTGGGACATGGGGGCATCGCATCCCCTTTGGACCCCCGGCCCCATGCAGACCCCGGCGAGCATCTGGGGAGCCGCTGCAACCCCTGCCCGGCACGCTTTCCAGCCCACCGGTGGCAACAGCCACCTTGGCCATGGCGAGCCGGGGGGATTGGGGGGTAGCAGGGTTTGCTTCCAGCCCCCCATCCCCTTTCCCCCCCCAGCTGATCCCTCCTCCTGGCCAGGAGCAGGGGCAGCTCTTGGAGTTTGAAATCCAGCTGAGGGGTTTGGGTCCAGCTCCGGTCCTGCGTGCCGAGGGCTGGGTCCCAGCGTGGGGCCGTGCTGCCCCAGTGGGGCTCGGGGGCTGCTCGCCCGTGACCCCCGTGTGCTGCGTCGGGGCGGTCTTGCGGGCACACTTATTCCATTGTATTTTGGGGTTTCTGAGTTAATGTCCTGTAAGGGGATAATGCCGGGGACCCGCACATGGCTCTGCCGCATGCAGACACGCGGGAACGGAAAATCCTGTGGAGCCTGATGAGAACTTCCTGGAAAAAAAAAACAAAACAGAAAGCATTTTGGAACATAATATCCATAAAACTAGAGAAAACAAAATAAAACCATGTTTGAGGATGTGAGTTGTAACGGGGGTGCGTGACCTGGCTGGCTTCTACAGGATGGGGAGAAGAAGAGCCAGGGTGGCTACCCAGAAAAAGTTTTACCAGGAAAAAAACCTTTCAGTCAGATCGTTACTGTCAGTGCAATTTTCGTGCGCCGACCGCTCATTTTGGTCGAGGACCTCTTTTCCTTAAGGAAGGGCAGACCAGGCACCAAGCAGCGGGGTGTCGCAGGGGTGGGCAGTGCCCACAGCTCGGGGTCCCCCCACACCGTACCGGGTTCCCGGACATTCCCGTGCTCCCCAAGGGGCCGGTGGGTCCGGGGGTGGCTTCGCCCTTGGCCAAAGTACCCCACGGGGAGGGTGTCCCACAGCTGTTTTCCTGACCGTCGGCGGGCGGGTTGCTGGCCCGGCCGCCTGGCTGCAGATCACAGGGGAGGCCGATGGCATGGGGGCTGCGGGAGCGTTGCCTTTTAAGGCGGGGAGTTCTGTTTTTATGGCAGAGGCGCAGATGGTCCCAGGGGTCCGCGAACAAAGCGAGCATCCACGGCATCGGGGCTCAGCCCTTGGCGGGGGGGAACCGGGGACTGCGTTCTCGGCTGGGCGCAGCTCTCCGGTGTGCTGGCTCCCCGATGCAGGCGGCCGGCTGCCTGCTCTCTGCCTGCTGTGCTGGAGGCATGTCCGTGGTTGTAAACCCCTGCAAAGCCCATGCCCTGGGAGGAGGCTTTGGCGTAGCTGGGTCCAGCATGCCGGAGGTGCCCGGCCTCCCCCCTGCCCAAAGGCTCCGCGTGTCCTTGGCCATGCCGGGGACCCCCCTGCCACCCCGGGCCAGGGTGCAGGAGCAATCACAGGAGGTCTGAGACCGGAGTCTCCTGCGCTCATCTAGTTTCTGCGTTTGCAGGTCATGCAGCCCCACGGACCGTTTCAGCAGGGTCCGTCCTGCATCTCAACTTGGCCCCCAAGCCAGGGGGTTTCTGCTTGCCCTAAGCTTTAGCAGGGAGCCCCCGAGGTCCCCCCATGCGCGCGCAGCCTGCGGAGGCTTTGCCGGGTTGTGAAATCTGCTGCCGCTGGAATTAAAACCTTCTGGAGCCGTTGGGGCCGGCACGGCCTTGAGCAACAGCCCCCACCGACGACGTGACGGGGAATCAAGGCACGCCATGGGGCTGCCGTGCCCGGGAGCCGGGGCTGCTCCGGGAACGATGCTGCTCTGGGAGCATCCCTGCTGCCCCTCGCTCCGGGTGGGATCCCGGGGCTACGAGCGCCGTCGATCGGCACTGGTGCTCGCTGCTGCAGTGCTGGGGTGAGCCAAACCCTGCGAAAGCAGGGTCCCCGCAGGGAGGAAAGGGCGAGACATGGCCCTGGCCACGACGGCTCCGGCCGCCAGCGTGTGGAAGCAATTTGCAGGCTGGCGGGGCTGCCGGACGCTTCCGCTCCCTGCCGCCGGCCAGGTCGCAGGGCCCCACGGACACGGCAGTGCCCGGTGGCGGCTCCTCATTAGCACAGGATGCAGCACAAGGTGGGGAGGGGGGCTGCCCCCCAACCCTTCCATCCCCACCACCTTTTGGGGGTTTGGCAGCTGCCCCCCGCTGCAATGCAGCCCCCCACCCTGAGCCAGGTCCCGGTCCTGGTCTTGTCCGCTCCCCCGGCAGCCCCAATGCGGGAGCCCAGCCAGGGAGAACCGAGCGTGGCTGGTGACGGCTGCCACAGGCTGGGTGTTTGGAGGAGACGGAGCTCTGCAGCACACAGCCGCCATTCAGCCCCGCTGCAGAGCCTGCCCGTGTGTAAACAGCCCCGGCTCCGGCCCTCAATGAGCCCTTTTTTCCCCCGCGCCTCTCCTCTGGCCGGGGCTCCAGGGTGCCCTCCCGGCCCCGGCTGGCGGCTGCCCCCGCTCCGCTTTTGGATCACGTTTGCCGGTGGGAGCATCGCCGGTGCCCACGCGGCCGCCTGGGAGCTCCCGGGAAGAACCTCTGGTCCCCGAGAGCCAGCTCCTGTCCCCAGGCTGGGTTCTGGCTCTGCTAATTGCCACTGATGCGCTTTAATGAGCTTCTGGCTGAATTGTCGGGTGCTTGTGCCCTCCCTCCCTCTCCTGTTACCCCACAAGGGCCCCTTTGGCCAGCAAAGCTCTTTATTTTGGGATGAAATCTCAGTGCTGGGAGGCTCCTGGGATGGCCACAATGCCATGACCGCAGGGGGTCAGGCTGGTGGAGGGCAAGACCTGGGGGTGCCATGGGGTCCCCTCCTGGCTGCAGGTCCTCGGTGTGCCCTCTCAGTATGGGTGCTGGGGTGGGGATCTCATCGCCCGCGTGTGCAGCTCCTTGCACCCAGGCCCAGGTACAGGAGCGATGCCCCAAGAGCTGGCACAGCCCCGGGCACCTCCAGCCTGGTGCCACCATGCGTGTGGACCACGGCATGGGTTCCTGACACGGCCGTTGCATCCTATGTCCCCACTCAGCCGTGCAAGTCTGTCCCTGAGACTTCACCATCGCCACTGTCCCGGCGGGCACAGCCGGGGCTGCCACTTCTCATGGCAGGTCTGGCCGTCCCCACTCGCCCTCCAGCCCCGCAGGTCACCGGGGCACGGACGGGGGCTGCCTGGCAGGTCGAGTAACGGGGCTTCCCCTCTTCTTCTGCTCTTCCCACAGGCTGCTGAGTAACAACAAGATCACGGTGCTGGAGAACGGCTCCTTCTTCGGGCTGCGGGCTCTGGAGAAGCTGTGAGTGCCCGGTGGGCGGCTGGGGGGGTCATGGAAGGAGGGGTGGGCAGCAGGGTGCAGGCAGAGCTTCCATGGGGTGCGAGCAGGACGAGCGCCGGCAGCACCGTCTGGGTCCTGCTCCCGACATCGCTCCTGGGTGCTGCAGCGGGGTTTGCTGCTGGCACCCGCGGGCATCCCAGGGACCCCGGGAGCTATGCCGGGGCAGGAGGCAACAGGGGGGGCCGTGCTCTGTGGGGGCCGGTATGAAAAGCGACATTGTCCCCCTGAACAAAGTCAACTTTCTTATCTCTCCATGAAAGGCATCTCTATGGAGGGAGCTGTAATAAGGGGAGATTTATGGCCCCCATATGGGTTTGATCTGTAGGTATGCAGGAGCGGGGACCAGCGCACTGAGGGCGTTTTGTTCCCCACCGTGGCCCTGCGAGGGTCTCGTGCATTCCTGCGCCGAGCAGGGCCGGGTGGGCTCCCGCCGTGGGATGCTCACCCGGTGTGATGGTGGCCCAGCTGCCGGCGTCCATGGGCACTGTGCTCCGCAGCCGGCTTCTTCCCTGGCATCCTCTGTGGCACACGGTTGTGGGTTCCCCTTCTGTTGGGTGGCAGGTCCCTGCCCCGCAGCGCCTGGCCTCACATTTTCCCGCACAGCATCATTTTGGGTGCAGATGGGCAAGGCAGTGGGGAGGTGAAGGCAGCGGCAGGCAGGGGCAGGCAGCGTGCCCGGGGTTGTGGGGACCCCCCCGGGCAGGCACTGCCTGGGCCACTCTGCGACCGCACCGGCGTGTTCGGCCGGCGGCGGGTCTGGGGAGGGTTACAGCCTGGCTGAGGATTTGGGACAGCCCCAGGACGCCGGCTCTGTCAGCTGAGGGGCTTGTGGGGCTCACAGGGGCTCCCCAGGGGCAGCGGGACCCCCAACCACCTGCATTTCATTAGCACGAACAAGGAAGCGTTTATTAACGCGGATCTTGTTCGAGTTACAGGGCATGCACCTGCCCCGACCTGCAGCAGAGCCCAGCTGCTCCAGCGGGCATGGGGGCTGCGGGGCCGCACCGTGGGCCCTGGGGTGCACAGTGCCCACTCGTGGCATTGCTCTGGGGTGCGCAGCCTCTGGTGGGTGCCAGCCCCTGGGCAGCATTCGGTGCACAGCGCTGTGCGTGGGGTGCACGGTGTCGGGTGGGGGTGCAGGCACCCCGGGGTGCACGGCGCCTGGTGCGTGGCACTGCGGTTGGGGTGCACGGCGCTGGGATGGGGAGCAGGCATGACAGAGCATGCGGTGCCTGATGCATGGTGTTGGGGCTGGTTTGGGATTTAAAAGCGGTGGAAATCCCCGTGGGCCTGTTTTAGGGGGGGAGTGGGAAGCGCGTCCTTGGGGACCCTGTGTCCCTGTAGTCTCCCATGGCTGAGTCCTCCCCAGCGCGGTTCCAAGCGTGGGGTCACCTCTTCCTGCTCCTGGCACCGAGCCTTCATTAACAGGAGGGATTAACATGCACGCAGGCAGGGAGCAGCTGGGGCTGCCCTGGGCGCTGCGCTCACTGGGAAGGGCTGCGGTGGAGCCGGGGGGCTGGCACACCAGGGGGACCGTGGTTTTGCAGCCCCCAGGGTGCCCGGGATCCCCTTAAAAGTCTCCGTGCTCTGGGAGAGCAGCCACCCCATGTCACCTCCCGCTCACCTCTGCCGTGCCAAAACCCCACGCGGGTCAGAGGGGGAGCGCCAGCGTGTCTGGGGGGGGGGCTGTAGGCAGCGCTCCCCCATCCTGGGCCGGCCAGCATCACGCTGCACCGCGCCTGATTGCTCTCGACAGGAGCCGTAATTGTTTTCATCGGGTCGGTTTGGGGCTGCGGCGCAGACATGCCCCGTGGAGGAACCGCGCTGGTGTGGCGGGGACGCAGTGGGGGCTCCGGGGCCCCTCGCTTCTCGTCCTGGGGCTCGTGGGGCCCCTGCCCACCCTGGCTGCCCACCGTGGGTGCTTCGGCATCCCAATGTGATGGGGAGAAACCCGTTCCCGGGGTCTCAGCAGTGTGCAGGGTGCCCCCACAGACCACCGCCCCTCCGAGCTTGCAGCTTGGCATCTCCAGTGATTTGTAGCGGCGTAATGAGATTAATGAGTCTGAGCGGGGCCGGTATGCAGCCAAGGCGGCCGCGCTCATTAGCGCAGCCCCGCTTGGGAACGTCCTGCCCTCCGCCCGGGCCAGCGCTTCCCCCCTTGGGGCTTCGGGCTGCGAGGGGGGCTCGGCTGGGTGACAGCATGGGTGACAGGGATGGAGTCCGTCCATCTGTCCGTCTACACCGGGCTGCGGCGGGTGCTGCTGTGCACAGGGAGCTGCGTGTGTGTCTGTGGGCTCAGCCCTGGCGTGCCGGGCTCCTTGCAGCTGCACTGGGCTGGATCAGGCCCTCTGTGGCGGGATTTGCTGTGCGCATCGAGGCTCGCTCCTCGGGGCAGGAGGCGGTTGCTTTGCAGGGTCCCCATGCATGCACGGTGGGGGGGGGGGGGCCCTGGGGCCCCGTGGCACTGGGGC